GTTTGGACGACTTTTAGATGCTCATGGGCCAAGCTGATGATGGGAATACACTGCGGGTGAATATTGCTCAACAATCATTAGAGAAAGAGGATGAGGGAGATTCGCCAGCTCTCATCGGGAGCTTATCTTTGAGCATCTCGCCGAAGGAGTCTGCTGTGGTGATATCGTGGGATGTGGCGATCGACGTTGGCGACGGTGTTGGGAAGGAGGCCGTCCTTGTAAGTACAGAGGGCTGTGGTGTAGACCAGGTTGCTCCCACGTAGCTACTGGACACGGACATCAATAATCATGATGGAGACTTCGTCACGGACAGCAACGGTAGGGATTGGGTACATCGCAGGTGAGGTACTTGACGTGCTTGGAGGAGTTATATTAATTCTCAGGGTCAACTACCGCAAGGATTGGCAGCTGAATGTTACCGATCCCGTGGCCATGAACTATTACCCGATTAACTCAGGCCTGAGGATTTCCGATCAGGTCGGTGAAGGGAGTAACGCTCGGCAGGTAGGCACCCAGCATCGAGTACGTGCTCATAGCAGTGTCCCTAGCTCACTCTTGTGCCCGATCGAGCTCATGGTGGAGCCTCACTGCTACCAGGCCAACTCGAGATAATGATCCATAGGAGAACGCTAGTTGACGATGGCCGAGGCGTTGGTGAGAGAGTGGGATGGCGAGCTTAGGACGAGTTATATCAGGAGAGCCTTTGGATGAGGTAGACTGTGTAGAGTCATTGTGCCTGCCTAAATTGGTAACGGGTGAGACGCGCCTCCTGCTAGAGCCAATGAGAACGTCGACGACCGAAGAAGAGTCCCACGACAACTATCGAGAGATGGCTCACCAGGTGGCCGCTCTAGCCCATCTACAGACGGATGCACTGACGTCAGGTCCGTCTGCCTCTTCTGCCCATCTTCACTCATGATGATCCCAAGAACCCGCCTAAAGCCGATAACTGGTCCTCTCTTGCGGGGCTAACAGCTTCCAAGCATTTGCCCCAAGAGATCCATATTCTAACGCTGGAGCTGTTGCATGTCAACAATACTCCTAAGCTCTACTATGACAAGGCCTGTGCCGATCGCCGATGTGCATTGCTTCGCGTGGCCCATACTTATGCTCAGGAGGAGGGAGGATCTCCCATCCAACTTGATCTAGCTGGGAAAGGAACTCTTTTGAAAGACTTTGAACTAGGTCCCGGCTTCGAGGTTCGAACGCGTGCTGATCAGCGCATCTGAACGCCTTGGCTCCTCAGGTAACCCTCAACGCGGGCAGGGACATCGAGACCGCTGAGGAGAAACGATTGAAATGGTCCGCGCACGGGGTTCAAAGTCAAAGCTCCGTTTATGATGGAGGAGGTCACCGCGGCCTCGCAGTTGATTGGGGAAGCCTGGAGCTTCAGCCTCTGCAGATCCGCACTTTCATCGTTTCATTGCTCTTGTGATACACACAACTCAGCCCATCTTACAGTATGTACTTTCTGAAGAGTTTATTTTCTTGAATCTTGATTTCGCTGGAATGATGTTTTCCCGGGACTAGGAAAACTATCAACACGAAAATATTTCATTCAACATCAGTAACGTAGCTTATCTTTTCGTTAATTTCATCTGAGGAAGGTGTTGTACTGACTAGTCCTTGGTCGGCTCGCATATTTCAATGGAGGGGAGGCTGCCGCGGCTCGTCGGTGAACTGTTCACCGTGAGTCATGCATCACTTGTTGTCCAAGTACTGCAGCCCCACGAAACTACGATGATCCCCAACGCTCTGTACACCTCACGTCGGGGTTTAACCGTTCCGCGGGATACACGAGACGTAGAGTCGTAGCTCGGGGTTGTTGTAGATAAATGCGTTGATGATCAATCATTGATCATTGCATGTTAACAATACTCCTAAGCTCTACTACGAGAAGGCCTGTGCCCATCACTGATGTGCACTGCTTCGTGTGGGCCACACGGTGTGGCCCATATCTATGCTAAGGAGGAGGGAGCATCTCCCATCCAACTTGATCTAGCTGGGAAAGGAACTCTCTTGAAAGACTTTGAGCTAGGTCTCGGCTTCGAGGTTCGAACGCGTGCTGATCAGCGGAT